AACAGCGGCTCCGCCCCTTCCGGCCGGCGGGAGGTGGTGGCACCGGTGGGACCGGGGTCGCTATCGCACGCTGACGGTCTCTGTACCCCTTCAGGGGAGGCCGCGGCTCCTTCGGGTCCGGCCACGCCGAGAGCCGGCGCCGAGCGCAGACCCCGGTGAGTCCCTTGCTGGTGTCCCCGCGCGGTCAGACCGGGGACACCCGGGGCTTTGGGTGTCCCGCTGGGCCTCGGCGCCGCTGGCTGCCCGGTCACACCGTGCCCCGGCCGATCCCCACGGTGGTCGGTGCGGAGGAGCAGCCCAGCCGTGTCCCGGGGGTGTTCCCGATCCCCACCCGCATCGCTCGCTGTGCTCTCCCGGTGGCTCCGGTCCGCGGCCAGGCCGCCCGGGCTGTGTGAGCCGCGGCTCGGATCTCTGCTGTCCCTGTGCAGGATCCCTGCTGTCCCTGTGCAGGATCTCTGCTGTCCCTGTGCAGGATCCCTGCTGTCCCTGTGCAGGATCTCTGCTGTCCCTGTGCAGGATCCCTGCTGTCCCTGTGCAGGATCCCTGCTGTCCCTGTGCAGGTCCACGGGCGCTGGATGTGTCGGGCTGTGGCCGTCCCGGGGGAGCCGTGGCCGTGCCGTGCTGTGCTGCCAGCGATGATTCCCCGCTGACAGGTACAGCCCTGGCCGTCTCTCGCTCTCCAACCACCACGTAAATCCGGTTTCTGCCTGGTTTCCCTGAGCTCTGTAGTTGCCCTCTCCCTGGGAAGCACTGCTGTATCCCCTGGGAAGTGCTGTGTCCCCCGGGGGGATGCGGAGCCACCCAGTGCTTGGCCCAGCAGAGCGGGTACGTTCGGACTCCCCAGTCTCACCTGAGTGTCGCTGGTGCCGGCCTTCTCTCGTGCCGGTGGTTCTGCCTCTGGCAGGGCTGGCATGGGAGTGCTGTGGAGGCTGTAGCAGTGCTGTTGAGGTGGAGAGGGCAGGGGGCAGCTTTGGGGTGTAGAGTGGGATGGATCATGGGGAGGGAATGTGGTATGGCCATGGATGTGTGAGCTCTAAGCAAGGAAAATGGACAGATCTACCCCACTGCTGGAATTACCTGGCTCCTGGTCACTGAATGAACTGGGTCTTGGGTCCCTTGGCAATTGAACTCCAGTGAAAAGCGCTTTAGCCATGTCTCAGCCTGGAGAGGAGAGCCCTGAAGCCCCAGGGTGGGGATGGCTGTGAGTGTCACACTGCTCTGTGCCTGGGCTGCTTGTCACGGTGTTGCTGCTGACTTCCCCACGCTGGGGATTTGGGAGTTCCGTAGTCCTGGAGCTGTCATGCGGAGCTGAAGGAGACAGGATGGGGCAGAACAGGCTTGGGTCTGTTGGCAGGGTGCTGTTGGGCTTCTCTGGGTGCCAAGGGCCTGTTCCCAGGGCACGGGCTCGCTCTCAAGAGCAGTTCCTCTGCAGGCTGAGCAGCATCGACTGCAGCTGGGGATGGTTCCGCTGTTACCCGTGGTGAGGCTCAGGTAGGAGCTGGGCCATGGAGGCTGCACCAGGGCCAGCACTTCCCCACTGCCCTCCATAGCCCAGCAGCCGTCGGTGGCCACCTTGGCGGGCCACCATGGAGCAGCCCACACGTGTGCCTGGGCCCCGCCGGCTTCTGGGCTGCTTCAGGCGGAAGCCACAGACCATCGAGGGGGAAACACCACCACAACCGGAGCCAGAGCCAGAGGAACCCGAGGAGACACGCATTGTGCTGCCCCTGGGTGAGAGCCAGGCGCTGGAGGAGTGTCCCCTGTGCCTGCTGCCCCAGCCGCCCGAGGCCTTTCCCAGCCTGGCCTCCTGCTCCCACCGCTCGTGCTGGGCCTGCCTGGAGCGGTACCTGTGCCTCGCTGTGAGCGAGAGCCGCGTGCCGGTGTCGTGCCCGCACTGCCCCGCTGCGCTCCAGCCCGCCGATGTCCACCGGCTCCTGCCCCAGCCTGCCCTTCGGGACA